TCATTTAGATTCTTAGAAGTTTTTATATAACGGGCAGAGCGTCTCTCGGTAATAACTATGTTACTGAAATTAACGAGCAGCAATAGAGATCAAGCGTGAGATTAGCAAGTATATCATATTCAAGAGAGGTAGCAAAAGCGCCACCACTGGGAATAGCCAATAAGGATAGCACATATTCGGGCACTCGATTATCCTTGAAAGCGTTTTCGGTGGCAGATCGTTCGCGTGTACGCTTAAAAATAATGCGAAAATACAGATGTCATAAAACATATATCTCTAGTTGCCTTCAAAGAAAGTTTCCTTCGCCAGCTTTCCCTTCTTTCCTCCTGTCGTTCTTTTTACCGACTTTAATTGAAGCCCCGTATAACTTGAGGGATCCTTCCATTTCGTTGCTGTTTCTTTTTTCCCGTTGACTGCATTACTGTTTGCCCTCGATGACTATTACACTAGGACTCTATGAAGAAGCTTTTATGCTTTTATTGCGTAGAAAAGATGCAGACCGAGTGTACATATACACACGACCGAGTGTATGTGCCTCAGTGGAACCCGGACGACGCATTGTAAAATATCCGTGGATTCTGCAAACTTCGCGGTGTATGTACTTTCTTGGAACGATTCTTGCCACGCAGATGTAAAATATAAAATAAAGATCTCCGTGACAATAATGAATGTAATTTGGTGCGTTCTGATGCTTTGACTTACGTACTTTGTATTGATAAAATTCACCATTACCCATATAAACTCATATAATCCTTTAAAAAATAATTACTATATAAATGTACCTCAAGTTTTCTTAAACGCAGATTCTTTGGCGAGATTGAAGTCGCGAGCCTTTGTAAATAAATTTAATTGGACCTAACTTAAAAAAAAACAAAAAAAAAAACAAAATCACTCTAGATATATTTTAAGAATTACTAAGATTTTCTACAATTTTTCAACAAAATTTTTTTTCTCCAACGAACGGTAGATTTCACTAGTCAGCTTTACGGACGCTCAACATTTAACATCTGAGAGGATTCACGTCGTTTGACATCTTTTGAGTTTATGTACGATGGCAGGGAACTCTTGGAAACGCTACCATAAGCCGGCGCACGCAGATTGTTAGAGCTTCCTCGCTCGCGTTTGACGCTCCTGAAGCACTTTATTGCTTCTTCTTTGATGTGGATACTTCAGATGTTATGCCGCATGATAATATTATTATATGATACATATATATTTGTGTGCCACGCGTCATACGTATATATATATTGTACATTATCGCAAATATGTGATTGGACAAGTTCATCTTTTGCGGGATTTGTTACGATTGCTCAAAGTCTGTCAAAAAAATATAATTCGTATGCGAAATTACTGGATTATAGTGAATATTCATGTTAATAAACTTTCAACTGCGCCTCCGGCTATGTATGCTCCGCGTTTTGCCTTGTATGATTCGAATTATCTCTGTTCGTGCATAAAGCAAAGTTATACTGAGTTAATAATCAAAATTATTAAATATCTAAATAAATTTTATCCCTTTATTATTATCCCTTTCTCAAGTATAATCATAAAAAATATAGGTTTCTGTATAGATTACTCTGGATAGAATCTTGAAATAATATATTCACATTTCATGATTTACGCATGACAATCTTTATGAATTAGTACAATCTCAATTTTAAACATTACAAATCAAAACTACTTTAATTAAAATTTTAATATAAAATATTATTTTTATTATTATATAAACAATTTTAATTTTAAATTACATTTTTGAACTGATGCTCTAATCCTTTTTTAATTGAAATGTTATTTAATTTTTCTCATTTTTCTCATTTTCCCAGGTTGAAGGAATCAACATAATATTATTAGTATATGTATGATGATATTTAAATGTTGTATGATTACATTTAAAAATTTGGAAAAATAATAATTATTTTCTATAAACAGCCACAAAATCGAAAAATAAAAACAATATCAATTCTCATTTCATATTAAAGAAAAATTTACATTTTTTCGGGATTTGATCACATAATGTAGGAGTTTAAAAATTACGAAATATTGAAGAAGTTTATATTTAATGTACAAGGAGAGCAAGAAAGGGCACAGTTGTAAAAGATTACGAGTGTGCTAGAAGTATACAACAAATTGTACCGCTTCCTCAGAAGTTCACTCGTAAAAAGTTGTGTGTATATCATAAAAATCTTGAAAGTAAATTTGTATATTAAGACAACCGAACTTTATAATATAGTGTAGACTAAGATTAAACTTCCGAAAAGTGGCATTTATTCGAATTTAATAAAAGAATTTTTTTCTAAAAATAAAGAAGAATTTTAGGAAAGATGGGAATCTTTTGGCAACATTGAAATTAAAAATCTCTTTCATATCTCTTTCATAATATATCATTTTTATAGTGTCATAAGTATTTTAAAATTCTTGATGCGTTACTAACGTCACCTGTTCAGTTTCCGTATAATAGAATAATATTCATAATTTTAGAGATTCTCTATTTTATCTATTTTTGTAGAAAAAAACATAATTTTTTTTCTTTATAGTATAGGGACATTCTTAACAAGACAAAGCGATTGAAAGCAAAGTCCATTTGATTGTTGTTTAACGTTTAACGCTTGAAGAAATGTAGACTCGTCATCGCACTTTAGGCAAAGTTCTCGAGATCTTGCATTATATGGTGTACTTTCGTTGGTGGTCTTTTCCTCCGACATCTTTGCGCAAAAGAGTAAAGTTTTTCCGCCGCTTGTGTATAAAAGTAGGGGCAGGAAAGCCTCACTCCTACCTGTGTTTCTTTCACGTTTATAGCCTTTTCAGCTAAACTTCCGGGCCATTAATTTACATTAGGACATTTTTCAAGAGCGTGCTAGCTCCTGGCGCCGCGCACCTTAAAATTGGCGAACTCCTCTTTTTAACGGTTCTCCTCTCTTACACGGAAAGAACCCTCGAGTCGCTTCCCCACGCCCCTTGTCGACGTCACGCTTGAATTCTTCACCATTAAACGACGACGCGACGGAAGAAGGGGAGGCCGAACGAAGCGTATATATGAGATAACTTCAAAATTTCATTTAACGACGTCGCGCACGAGCCAAAGGCGCCGGCAATCATTAAATCACCGCTCGTGACGGATCCGTCGTACACAGCTTGATTGATATGTAAACGCCGGCCCATCAATACCAGCGTTTTTAACACAACGTGTTTACATCACATAAGTGCTACATATATCACTCGTTAATTTCATTACAATGCCTAGGTAGGTAATTCGCTCGCGCGAGTCTGTTGCGTCGACATCGAAACAATGAAAGCACATCGAACGTCCGCAAGTAATTTATTAACTCGTAAAACGCACTCACATTAGCGCGACCGCTTGTTATCCATTTTTAAAATTTTTTGATTATTAAATCTTTATGAGGTCAATAAAATTTTCGGGCATCACAACTGTGTATTATACTTGAAATTTCATTAACTGCGAGATACGATGCGTATATATAATATAGGATACGTTAATTTTAAATTAATAAATGTCATTAACTTTATGTTATTACGGGTATGCATTTTCGATATTTTTTTTATTATGATTATAATAATGCGTGGACTATAGCCACTACGATTAGTGTATTGTTAAAGAAAAAAAAAGAATGTTTATTTTGTTGCACGAGCAGAGAGGATAAAAAAATAGTTTTTAAAATGAAAGTTTATGTGCGTTTCCAGGATTGTACGCTGTGAAAAAAATACAACCATCGAACGTATATCGTTTTCAAAAAAATCGAGTCAGAGAACTCTAGAATATCGGCGGCAGCTCGCGATCGAAAAAAAATTGCTCATAAAATGTGCCACCATGGATGTCAACGTACGGGTTTAACGTTTGTTCGCGTAGACGTCGAAATAGGAATGGAATAACTGTCGCTGACATCATGTCAACGACAACACAAATATCTACCGGCTATCTACCTGGCAATATTTTCAGCTGTAATATTTGTATTACATAAAATGCAGTTGTGTACAGCTGCGCATAAGCCTCTGCTAATGTGATTTTTAATTTTGCATAGCGCATATACACAGAATTTTCATCAGTGAATATAAAAGAAACTTTGTGGCACCAATCAAATTTTCTTGTCCAACTCAATACGAGGGTAATAATGAAATCGAACTCTTTTCTTGTTACCCCGTTAAAGGATGATGACGTACTATTCCGTTGGAAATGCACGCTTTATTCTGTCGATCTGTCTCCGCCCCTTGCAGCTACATTCATTTCTCATTTCGAACACGTCGAATGCTCGGAGCAGAGTTGAACTCGAAAATAGAAGAGAGAAAATCAACTTATGAAAGCCGGTGCTCGATCTAACAAGTCCCTGTTTAAAGTTCAGGACTTAAGTTGCAAAGTGTCAATGACTCCGATACTTTTAAATTATATTTAAACAAAATAGTTTATACTTCGTGATAGAGCAAATTCGTGATAGGAAATTTTACATGTGTGTATACGTATATGTATGTAGTTAGCATAAATATTACGAAGTGAATAATTGATTTTAATATTTATTCTATGCAAGCATAGAAATCATTTAAATGCATACATATTAAAATGTTATATATTTTTTAATAATTAAAAGAGAAATAATCTCGTAAAAAATATCTAAATATTTTTTAAAAATTGAAATGTTGCGTTTAAAATATGTAATAGTATCGAAAACACAAAGTAATATCTCTATGTACGTTATTAATTAGGTAACGTATATTATTGTTAAATGTTTTCACACATTAGCAAATATATAAATGTTAACATAAATTTATAAATTATTAAAAAAAAAGAGTTAAAATAGAAAATCTTTAAATATTTTATTCTCCGAATTGGAAAACGCATATAATATATATTCAAAGTTAGTCAACCAGTAAAGGAAAGATATATTTCTGATTTCACTTATCAATATGTTGTTATATTTGTGTGTACCCGTATTTTACTTATGCCACTCAAGATAGATTCACATGAACGAATCTTTGTGTTTCTGTTTCAGCACACCCTCACGGGCCACTGCGCAAAGGTGATGGCGGCGAAGTTTCTTGGCGAACCGTCAAAAGTAGTTACGGGAAGTTATGATCGCACGTTAAAAATCTGGGATCTGCGCAGCAAAGCATGTAAGTAAACGTTATTCTATCGATTAAAATTGTAGAACGTTTTTCGCGAGACGTTTACTAATAACGTCTTGAGCTAAATATTTCAGAAATTACGCTTTTATTAATCGAAAGAAAAAATCCTAAAGATTCGATTCAAATTTTCACGGAACGATTTCGAAACACTTTAATGAAACTAACTTACGTAAACCAATTCTGAATCTAATCTGCTCATATTTACTGACAATCTTGCTCGCTAATCCCAAGATTCGTGATCTCCCACAGTGTGCAACAAAGATAAATATTTAGTAGACGAACAAAAAGAAATAAGCAGCGATTCTTTGCGTGGCTGACATATCAGGTTGCATAATATTAACGCGGTACATTCGTTCTTGTAAATCGTAATAGAAACAAGATATGAGCTGAAAGTAATGTACAACATTAGAGAGAAAGAGAGAGAGAGAGGGAAAGAAAGCGGTAATCACGTTGCCCATTATCCCTATTAGTCGTTGCATAATGCAAATATACTTACGAGCGTTCCAAGATAATAAAACAAACGGCGAATCTGCATGATCATTCATATGTATATTCTGTTGCACATCGTACACGGCTGCACAATGGACCGCCGCACAAAATATGACGCCTGTAATGCCGCGACTTGGTTCGTACGAGGCGCACCAGCATCGCAACGATGGCCATAATGGCCAAGATTGAATAAAAACTACCCTCCCGTCTAACAGACGGTTCGTTGCGTCGTCGTGTAACTGCGTGAGGTTAATTAAATCGATAAGATCCTTTCCACGGAAGAACAGATTCTCCCCTCGCTTGTTTCGTCCTAAACGATCTTCGCCGGCATAGAAAACTCTTTATCTCTGGATATTGATGCTTTTAATAGACGATCCCTTCGGATCTAAGGGGGAGGTTTTGGGAAAAGTTGCAACTTTAATGCTTGAATAAATATGTTTAGAGATAAAAAAAAGTTTTCAGAAAATTGGCCGACTAACCCGGTAACTTTAATGATTCTTTGCGGCTTTAAGGTAAAAGCAGCGCGTGAATTGATGATAACAAAGATGAATTTATGTAATCTAATGGATGATCTGTCACAGAAAAGAAAGGCAAGATTAATCATAAATCCATTACCCACAGGAAAGAGTACTACCTTAATTAGCTCTTAAACCAAGACGCGGGTTTATCCAGGATAAGATGGTATAAGACGGTTATATTACTCAGACTTCTTCATCGCATCATTAATCAGTTGTTAATGAACGTTATTTTACACCCGTTAGAATTGATTTTTTTTCTCTCGAATCAAAAGACAGAAAAGTTCGTGAAATATTAAAGATATTTCGATATTGCATGATTTTAATTAATTCTCCTCGGCATTATTTTTCTCGCCAATTTATTCGCGCGAGTAAGTAATAAAGAAACATCTAACAATATATGCAAAAATTTGAGAACTATCGATGTAAAAATTAATGTCAAAGTTAACGATGAGTTAATTGATATAAATGTATCGTAAAATCAACTATGACTATTAATTTTTCTCGTATATTACATCTATTATCTAAAGAGCTTCTCTCTCCTTGGCCTGTATAGAAACAGCTTGAATACAGACGATATGTAAATTATATCCTTCAACGCGTGCATTCATGTCTACTAGATCGGTCCGAACGCGTACAGTCACCATTAGAAGACCCTTTTGTGCTAGAAAGTTCGCGCATCGTGATCTAATTTCACACAAACAACTCCAACACTCGACTGCAAATACCAAATGCGATATTCGAGCCTCCTCTCGAGTGAACGTTATTGTGATCTTCTGGCAGATGTTGGACGAGGACTATACACCTGTGCCTATATATGGATCTGGCGATGCAGCTTTCGAGTCGCATTGAAAATCGCCACTGTAATGCGATAATTCTACGCATTCAAGGGCGAAAGTAATTTCCCCCCTTCCAGGAAAACTGTTTTCGAGTTGGAATGCAGCGGCGAATCGTGACCAGCACTCGTGCGAAACGTGAGGATGCTCGATGCACCTATACACCCATGAGAGATTTATCACGCTAATTGTCGAGCACTTGGAAGAAGAGCAAGCGCCCCCGTTCGACCGTCCGTTCTCCATTGTTCGCGCGAACTATCTCGGCGTATCGAATCGTATAGCTTCGTTCGGCCGTAAAATAGAGAAATCTTTCACCACTTTCGTCGCGGCGCGGCGGGGCTCTACGCGATAAGCGCGCCGCTTCGAAGACAGGGGCGAAAGTGATAATTTACAGCCGGATGAAAATGGCCATTCTACCGAGGTAAAGCACAGGTCGCTCTCGTCCTTCTCGCGCGAAATGTAGAGGCTTTAAGTGGCACGAAAAATAAATTGGACAAGCCGGCACGCAAGCGGCCGGACGTGGGCTGATAGCGGCAACGGGAGGATCTCATTTCCCGTAAATGTATTCGGGATTTACATTCGGCGCCGGACTAATCTCGTGAAACGGTGCTCTCTATCTGAAGAACGCCTCGAGATATCGATTTACACTTCGGTCAACAACGCTACAGGGTTCTGCGGTATGCGCGACCGGTAGCCGAAGAGGAATCGTATTGACAAAGGATACAAAGCTGCAGACTGCTTAACACGACGCGGCGCACAGACACTATTAATTTGCAAGGTCTAGGATCGCCTTAAACCGGGCCTTTAGTTACGGTTCGCTCGCACAGAGAGAATCCGCGTAATAATAATTTACGCCATTAACCAACGTACGCGCGCGCGATTGTTTGTCGAATTTCAATAAATTGCGTTGCATCGGAAGAACATTGTTATCTTTCGGTTCAAGTGTAATTAATGGCAAAAATAAATGCTTTGGCTATCTATAAGACTTGATAAATGCAATAATTTGTTTTTAATCGTTTCCGATGAACAGATATTGAAATATACGATCATATGGTGTCTATTATCTATATTAAAACACGAAATTAAAAATAATTGTATGTCATCTCCATTAATCAATGATTAACAATTGTGCATTTTGCGAGGCAATTAATTTTACTTATTGAGAATTGATGCGCAGCTAATGATACAAATTTTAATCTCAATTACTATTGATTTACAATTATTTTACGCTCTTGAAACAAAAAAGGCATTCTCACAAATTATTGCAATTAACTTGTCGGATTATTCGCTTGAAAATAAAATGTCGGTTATACATATATATGAAGAATCTCGTTGTTTTCATATCTTGTTTGCTTTTTCTAGATTTTTATATTTTATATATTTTAATTATATGTATGGCTATATATATATATATATATATATATATAATTTTATATATTTTACATATTTATTTATACTATTCTACATATTTTTAAGAAGTAAAACACAAGTATCAAGTACTATTGTAATTATTATAATGCAACTGCACGTAAAGCGAGTTGATGGTACTTTAGACGTCCTTGACAAAATTAGAGAATTATAATGTCCCTCATATTAAGTTAAGACCAAAACCGTAAAGTGCAAAGTTTGCTACGACGGAAATGGCGAGAGAACTGTATTACTTTGCGATATGCAGACCCTTATGAAACATGAAGAGCGCAATTTCGAAAAGTGTATCTCCTTAAATCAAGTCGCGTAAAGTGTGATGCAGCACCAGAGTTGTAGCGGGCGATAATTAATGTAAGAAGTCGAGCGGCATCACAAATCGTTGTCCCGACTGAGTTTGCGGCCGGCCCATCAAACTTGTTACATAAATACAAAACTTTTTCGCCGCGGACGTACCGTGTGCCCTACGAGGGACGAGCGAGAGGATTTGTCTTATTTTTTATGCAATGCAGATAACAACGCGGAGCGCGCGTGGAACGTAATTAACCTGTGGCTTAACTTCGTCACGTAATTTATAGCTGTCGTCTCGGTCGGGTCATCCAGTAGCCGGGGTCTAAGTTAATTGTGCGTACGCGGATACCTGCGTGGATACACACAGGTACTCCGAGGACATCCGTTTTAGCCTCGCGGCGGCTTTTGTTTCTTGTTGTAAGCGGTGATCCTACAGCAAAATAGCGAAAACCGTGCTATCAAGGAAGACCGGCGGTGCAAGGGGGTAGGTAGTTGTACAAAAGTTTCGCACAAATAAATCTCCGAACGCGCGAGGTGCGCACAATGGGGAAAGCGGCGCTGAAAGGGCGTTTAAGCGTGAATTATTGTTTACCCGCGGACGCTTTAAGACAAAAAGGACGCTTAAAGTGGATCAGCTGTTTTCTATCGCGCTATTATCTACCTCGCCACGTCGCGCAATTTCGTGAACGCCCCGAGCGACTCTTCTGGACACAATCGTGCCACGGACAGATGGATTCCGCACTGTACCGTCGAAATAACATCCCCGCGTTCGTCCCGATTACTCAAAAGATTCCATTAACTGTTCTCTAACTTTTCGAGAAATTATCACTTATTTTTGCTATACATCAAATTCGTATTTAGGAAATTATTTTTTCTTCTTTAATATATAGTAAATGCTTTGAAATCTTATGCATCTTTATTCTAATCGTATTTATGCTGATTGTCAAGAGAGAGTATGCAGAAAAACAAGTAATCTCTTCTATATTTTCATTAATATAAGTTCAATGATAAATAATTGTAAAATAATTAGAATTCAATTTCAAGAAGTTATCGAAAAAGATAATATTTCATGAAGTTTTCTCTAAGAAGACTCGAGGTCTGTGGACGAAGCATTACTCGGTATTGCTCTTTATAATTATATTCAAATAACATATATCTTTATATAAAGCAAATGTGCATAATATAAAATGCATATTAATGCGAAAAACATGAGGAAGAGCAAATTAACATGAAGCTCTTATCCGAAAGCTCTTATCATGGCGGTTGAATAAGACTTACATGCAAAGCCGGTAATCCTTTATGCCTCGTTTGAGGGATAGATGTACGTTAATAGCATATATATATCATACACTTATCTGAATAATACATTTGGGCTTAAGGACTAGTACATAAAGGACTATATTATGGATGAGGATATACTTTGTGCGACATGTTGCAAGAATTGACATCCCAAAATTACTACTAGAAGCTAAACTAAAATAAAAATTTTTCGATTCAATAGCATAAAGTCACGAGACAGCCTATGACTTATGATATACAATAAAGTTGTGTATGACGAATCGATCATATTTTTTAAAAACATAATTTATTCTGTATATCATTTGCTTCTTCGTTTATGCTGCCATTGAACGAAAAATAGAATGCTAAGATATTAAAAAGAACGAAAGAGATTACTTGTGTTTCTACGAAAAAAAATGTCATATTTTTAACATGAAAATTGGCATTTGGAGAAAAGAAAAATTGTTTAAATAAATTATCAAAAATTAGCATCAATTTGTAATAATATAAATATTTTAAAAATAATGATTAAGTCAGGCTAACTATTTTAACATCTTGTCAACATCATCATCACTTTAAATCTTCACATTATTAGATGAAAATATTCACGTTATCATTTCAAGTCCAATAAAATAGAAGTCTATACGTGTTGCCGCGCAATAGTTTATTTACGCAAAAGAGATAAAGTTTATATGCTAGTAATTTTACGCCGATGTTTATTAGCCGTATGCGTCTCTCGAGTATTTTATCAAATCGTGATAGACAGCGCATTGCAGATACAGTGCAGTTACTTGTTGCGAGGTAATACTGCTGTGAACCGTACGATGTTGAGGTGAAGTAGGAATTGTCGACAAATTTCTCTTTATGCACGAACGCACTTTGGAAGAAATTTTATTGCTTCTAGAGAAGTGCCCTACTCACCGCGTTTGAAGCTTGTGAAGTACTTTCTGCAGAACTTGTCGAACTACAGGGATTGAGTGTACATTGCGCGCAAATGTCATCGCTGTATATACATACATATATCTGTATCTGCACGTATAACAACGTGACAATAAAAAAAACGCTTACGAAACGCCAAAAAATTAATAACATTGTATTTCGAATAATTACATTTGAAAAATTAAATGTCTTATATATCACACATATTCAATTTCATTTAGTTTCTTGAAATAAAAATAATGAACGTACCTTTTGTATAAAAAAAAAAAAAAAAAACTCGTTATTTGAGTTGTCACATAAAACGGATAAAAACATTACAAATATTAAAATAAAATTAATTGAAAAAATTAATTGATATCAAAGTTTTCTGTTAGAAATGACTGAAAGACAATATTTGAAATTTTAATGGAAATTAAATATAATTGCTTTTTCACTCCAGAAATTCGCGCGACGCGATTGAAAGACAGTTTAACGCGCGATCGTAATTGAATACGCGCGCTTGCAACATATAGAATCTATGAATGAAGAAGATTTCCTCCCTTCTCTCTCCCTGGCACGTTACACTGTCGCGAAGTAATTGGAACCCGTAATACCATCTTCGCGCAGTAGAGAAACGGTGGACATCAGCCGCTCTTCGTCGTCCCGCTGTGGAAACTTCGACGGATTAATCGATCGAGCGGTAAATCACATTTGATTTAACGTGGAGCCAGGATAAAATAGAATGGAGACTGGTGCGCGGATTCGTAATCGTACAAAGGCCGAGGTTAAGGAAAGGTAGACTAGAAGGGCGGTAGGGGACGATCGTAAGCGGAAAACTCGTAATTTATCCTGTTTCCACTCGTGATGCCAGGCATTTCCGCGTCGCGCGCTAGCGATTTCCAAGAGCTTCGTGGAAACATGGCGACGCGAACGTCATTTCCCGACGTAAATTAAGTTTGAAATCCTGCTTATTTCAGCGTGGAGATCGATGGAGAGCTGCTGCTAGGTACAACTACAGTTTGAAAGGGGAAACCAGCCGTGATTCACATTCGATACAACTGTTAACTCGCTCCGCTTAAAGTCGGCGCGCGTATATGCAATTCGGGAGGACGTAATTCTATTACTACCGTGGAATGCTCAAATTAAATGCAGAAAGCTTTCTGCATGCATTTAATTCGATTATACTGTTATCCTTGAAAGGCGAATTTTACATTTAAAGGCTTGCGCATTAAAAAATTGTATCTAATATGAACAAAAATGCGCACCGGCATTTTTTTTTTTTTTTTTTTTTTATAACCACACGTATATACACACGAACAATTCGGACATAATAATTAACAAAATAATAAGTATATAATAATATTGATATTTATTAAAGTATTAAAATTCATTGATGATCATATTTCAATATATTGTATTGAAACCATCCCCACGAAATATCTACGTAATTTATGTATTATTGTATATAAAATTATATATATATCGACATATCTTATTTAATAAGAAAGATATAAACACAGTTTATTACTATTTTCTTAAAGAGTTTCTTTTTGTCTTACTTGACAATTAAATCGTATCAAAGTTATCGACAAGTGTGCAATCTAATTGTCTATATAAATACATCTTTCAAAGATCAGAAATTTTATGTTGCAGGTATAGAAACGAAGTTTGCTGGTTCTAGTTGCAATGATCTCGTAACTTCAGATGGTGCTGGCTCCACGATAATCAGTGGTCATTTTGATCAAAGAATCAGGTTTTGGGATACAAGAGCTGAATCCAGCTCAAATGATATCTTATTAGAAGGAAAAGTTACATCTTTGGACTTGTCCCGCGGTAAGTAAAGTTAAATGTATCAAATCACAGAGCTTATACTTTAATAAAAAGGTAAAGTAGAACAATTGAATCAACAAGCTCAATTGTATCAATTGAGTCAATCGAATTCAATTTGATCAATTGGGTCAATTGAAGATTTTTTTATTGAATATTAATTAGATATAATTATATTTTAAAGGACACTTTTGAAACCTTGCTCTAATACAGAATTTAAACGAATATCAAAATTGATATATGAAGCATGTTTCTATGAAGATAATTTTTTAATACGGTAATTTTTTAAATTATGAATTATAATGCAGTAAACTTACGTTCACTATATATATAATGTTAAAGTAGTATATTAATTCTATATTTTGTAATTATGTGCAATTTTTTGTGCATTTTACAATATCGAATAAAGTATGTTAAAAATATATGAGAAATAGCTAGTTATTTTCTTTTATTATTGGCATATTAAGTATAAGTATTTAAATCTAACATGCATTATAAACAGAAACCGATATACCGCCAGAAAGAACGTTAATATCGGAAATTACATCCTATTTTATTTAAATTGCTTATGAACGTCAATCATACATTTTTAGTTAACTTAAATTAATAATAATTTGTATTGCATGTCTCTATTCATATTTTGTTTAAAAAACAATATATTAATTACGCCTGTACAAAAACATAGATTTTAATATAATTTTATATTACTCCTAAAAAATCAATACAGATATTTTGATTAGTATTTTATTTAATTTCATTAATCAAATTTATAATTATTTTAGCATAAATTACAAATTGTGTATAATATAAATTCAAATATTGAGAAGTAAAATTTTATTTTTTTAAATTGATGATAAATTTTATATTGTTATTATAGCGTATCTATATATATATATGTAACATGTATGTGTCTGTCCGTTCAACAATTAATGAGGCAAAGAAACATACTAATTGGCATTTCACGGCAACTGCTACTCAATAGATTTTATACGTGAATTCTGTTTCGTTACGCAAACAATGCTATTTTGTTTTTGCTTTTTATCGCAACATCCTAATGATGCGAATGAATTGGCTCGTGCGCGATTCTGCAATATTCTCAAAGCACTTATATCAGGTGCAAGTGCACTTCGTTCATTCAAAAGCATTTCATACAAATATATATTGTTCTATCGCATTTCATTAATTCTCGATATTGCCAGAATGCGAGTTCCATGAATTCAAATGAAACAGTATCACTCTGATTTTGAACTTTTACTTTATTATTGAGCAAATATATCACGGCTCTAGTATTTTTCGTTGTTCATTATACATAATATTTATTTGAAAAAAATTTAGAACAAGCTTAAATGTTTCTGGGATTCTATGTTGAATACTTCTTTAGATCGATATGATTTAAAAGGAGATTATTGCAAACGGATTATTTCAATGTATAGTAAACTACATAATTTGTAAGTTTATTGCATTATACTAGATATTTTAACTCTTAGAAAGATTGTTGCATAACTTGAAAATTCCACAAAGACTTTTATGAAATGACAATATGTCCGATATGTAGAAAATATTTGTTTAGCTAAAGTTGTAATTCCGCAAACAATTTAAATATTATTCAATCATAGACGATCGCGAATCATAAAGGCATCTATTTGATTTCAGACGCAAATTACCTTTTGAGTTGCGTGAGGGATGACACGGTGAAATTGATTGATCTACGAATGAAGAAGATTGTGGGGTCGTTCAGGTGGGTTGTGTGTGCACTTATCGCATATATACGCGACTAGAATATTAAAAGTAGTAAATCATTGTATTTTTATTTTATTTTACAGTGCTGACGGTTTCAAAGTGGGATTCGATTGGACAAGAGCTGCTTTCAGTCCTGACGGGCAGTACATAGCGGTTGGGTCCGCGGACGGTTCCGTCTTTATCTGGTCTATAGCGACGAATATGATCGAAACGACACTAAAGGGACATACGTAAGTAGAGATTTTCTATCAATTAATTACTATCAGTAAGTAAAATTCGAAAATTAAATTAAATAGTTTCTCTCCTGCCAAAAAGTGCAATTATCCATGATAAGAAGACCTAATAATTAGATATATCATTAGCCATATTTTAGAAGATAAAGTGAATTATAAAACTTTAGCAGACAGTTATATGATTCTATTAATTATACTCTCCTTCGTGTATAGTTTAATATTATATAATATCTAACCTGCAAAACGTATCCATTAATATAATTTTTATCGTGTTTTTCATCGTCTGCATATATTCTTGACCGCATATTTAATTTTCTTCCCTAGAGATAAAAATCGTTCTTTTCTTTCATATAGATTGGAATGTGCAATATCGATATTAAGGCTAGGACCATTATAAGATGGACGTTCCACAAAAAAAAAACTATTAAATTTTATATGACTTTAATGGTCTATGCTTGCCGATGATGAAGAAACATATTAAAATACGAAATATTGTTCCCGATATTATAGTATCGAATATTGATTTACGAAATATTAATCCGAGATATTGAGCTGCTGCACCGAAGCTTCAGAAAGCAGATCGTCTTATCTTAGTGTGGTCTTTTTATTGCAGTCTCTTTATTTCGTAATCTATACTCTTTCACCTATCTTATATTATATTAAAATCTACGCGACTCTCGCTCTCTTTCTCTCTTTTGCATGTATAAGTATACAATTAGATAACGTCAAAGTAAATTTGACATTTATAGTTCTAATTACTTTATTAATTTTCTATCGTCAATACTATGAACGATCAGGAGTGATCTAGTGATTTTTCTTTTTTCTTTGTAATCCTGATGCCGCATTTGCGACGATATTTTTCGAGCACACCAACGCGCGACTTTATTTGCGGTCACAAAATCGATAGCGTTAACCCGCTGTTGCCCTTCGCGCCGTTCTATTTCAGTGTGTATCGTCGTTATAATTTATTTCTCTCTTTTTTATCACAAAATACCCATTTGATGGATGCGAATTTCTCGTTTAAATTCGCTCGCTGGATCACTGAAGCAGCCGTAATTTTAGGAGGCACCTTCGAGTGCTCTGCATACCCACCTGACACGAAAAGTTCCTAAAGTACTTCAGTCCTTTGGTCCATCACACGCAGTACATGTACACATATGCACATGCACACACACACACATACATACATACATACACCCGAAGAAAGAAAAAATTTGCAGTGAGGAGAGACTAGAGGGGATCTAAGAAAATATTTCGACGTGACCCGATTTCCGCTCCAACTTTTGCGCTATATATTCACGTACACATATTCGCTCGGATCCTATACATCGCCGGAAGAGTTGGTGGTATTGCGAATTTATACGGCACCCTGGATACTCCCAACTCTTGCCGGCATCTACGTCGACTCTCGCCATTGAATATGTCACTCCGAATGACCGAAGACTCGTTTACCGCGTCTCGGGGGAACACGAAAATCCGCGAAAAGAGAAAGAACCTCGGCTCGCGAGATGCGAGCGAGAAATGAAAATGGTTATGGGTAGGCAGGGTAGGCAGAACAACGTATCTCGTCCGCGTGCTTTCAGCGCCCTTTCACCTACACGAGCCGTATAGTTGATGGACGCGTTAATCGGTGGTATCTCACGGGGAATGCGGCGTAAGGATCGCTCTCTTGTCGAGGTGCAGAAAATCGATATGTTTTGAACACTAAAAACGTCAATTATGCTATTACGAGCAGGGGCGGTTAAACATGATATTATCCGTAAATCAATAGCAAGCGCGGGGTTAACAATTTCCGGGTATCTCATACGTAACTTTTCACCTACAATTCATAAATCGCCGATCAATTGAAATGTCAGCTTTTTTTCTTGTTAAAGAGATTTTATTGATTAAAAAGTTTATATATATTTTTTTAATATCAACATTTATCGAAAGATATTTATTTTAATTTAGTATATTTGTGTGTAAATGTAGTATATATAATTTTGTTTGCTTTATCATGTTTACGTTATTGTGTGGAGAGAAAATAACAATTTTTCATTCATACTTTATATATCAATGACCATAAACTGAAAAATTATTTTGTCGGTCAGATTAAAAGGATGAAAGTCATGATATCGGTGAGAAATAATTCCTACGTGGTTGTTAAATGGCGATAACGTTTAATTATTCTCAATTGAAACATGTCGTGCTTCGTACCAATCATACTATCACGTTCCCGGTAGCAGCAATTAGTTATTACGCTCATGTTGGAGCGTTTACGTACATAAACGGTTTAATAGTTCATAATTACGACAGCGTATACGCCAACATTAATATATTTTCAAATTTAGACTAATAATAGTTTCTCATATTTCGCTTTAGAAAAGGATATCTTTTTTTTTTTTTTTTTTTTTTTTTTAATCAAAATATATCAAGTTAATTTATTAAATTGTGGTAGTGCATCTCTATTAAATTTCCGCGATTTTATCATATAAGATAAAAATCCTTTTAATATTGTCTGCGGTTGCGGCAATAAAAGTAAGCGCCGAAACGAAAGCGGCGTTGTGTTTCCAATTGCTTTATCCACATGAACCCTCTTATAATCCCTCCCCTGCAACGGTCATTGTCTTCGAATTCTATAGGAGATCATAAACATTCGTTCTACAATTATCGTTCTATAATTATCCCTCCCTCTCTCTCTCTCTCTCTCTCTCTCTGTCATCGACGGCGCTCGACCGTCCCTCATCTTTGGCGTCCTCGGGCTTCTCAAGGACGCAGTATCTTTGGTGGTGGCTTCTCTGGGAGAGCCCAGCGGGCGGCTCAAGTCCGGCGTGCATCTAAGTACCGGTCGTATCGAAAAATGGCTTAAGCACCAGTCACGTACACGTCGCTCGGCGCCGGTGTGCGCGATTTCAACGCGTGCGCGCGTGTGTTTCACTGTTATTACTTTCACCCCAACCGGACCGCTCATCCGTGGTCATCGTCATCTTTCGTCGTAATCTCCCTGCCCTCTCCTCCTCGTCCCTTCCCCTCAGTCTTCGTCGTCGCGTCGTCTCGTCTTCGGCGACTTCGTCTTCGTTTTCGCCTTCGTCTTCTCTCTCCGCGGCCGCCACTTCGTTCGCGTTGCGCGTAGCATCGCATGGATGGTAGATCGTATAATTCGTACGTACGCGCTCGCTCAGGAATTCCTGAGACTAACTTAATAAGCGCCTCGCCCTTTCACCCTCTTTTCTTCGTCCGTGTACTCTTACGACGCTTCGCAAGAAGCTGTACGATTCCGTGGGTATTTAATGCGCGGATTCTCGTAACGCTCTAAGCTCTACCTGTCGCAGCGCGAACTATGAAATTTACATGTTATTTTAGAAAACGCGCGCGAGTGCGCGAATTAAGGTAATAGTCGCAAAAGGCGATTTTTATTTTTACAGTTTTCTTGCTGTGTATACGATCGCGCGCAAAGCCGCGTTAATAAATATCATGAACTTATAAGGAATAAGTAATGAAATGTTTTATCAAACAGATTATTGTGCGTTAAGTAATAACTGTGAGGAAAATGCGCTTATGTAAATATTTCCATTTATTAATATAAAAAAGATCATATTCGCGTACATTTTTCTTCATTACGTTTTAACTTTGCTTTAAATTTTTTTATTCCACTACTATATATGTAATCTGATATTAGTAGTATTATCCTTACTTAAGATGAAGGTGCAATGAGGCTAGTTTAAAAAAATGTCTTAAAATAATTATATCTAATATGATAATATATGATAATATCGTAGTTTTATTACTATTTATGTTACATAAAATGTGAGATATACGTATATTTACTCATACATGAAGTTACTTTTCCAATAACAGATGTGGTATAGCTAATATGAAATAATCTTAATCAAATAGATAAGAACTTTATATGAATTTCACATTTAATTTCATATGAGCACACCACTAATTCATATTATTTTTTAAACCACTATAATTATTTCCTATTTTATCTTCATTTTCCCACATAATTTTCATCACGATATACACAAGTTACATAAAAATATGCGGCTTTGCGCGCATCAATAAACGCACCGCACCGTTTGTATTGCATCATATCGAAGAGCATAACTTCCTTCTAGCGAGCACTTAGACTCGGATGCGCATTCGTATTGCTCGATAAGCTTACGCGCCCGTTCGTGTTCTAATTTGCAATCAACCGGCAGAATCCGCTGGTACACACGTCGGAAGGCGGGAATTTACTGCGCGATCCCCGACGAGGATCTTGCCCGACGAATAAATAGTGCTCCGCGATTATAGCAGAACAGGTAATTAGGAAGGCAAGAGAGGAATTGGGATACCGCGGCGCGGCGGTTGGGGCTCAGAGCTTTGAGATTAAAGTGCAGTTTCGTTGAAGAATTTTCGATTCGGCGCATTACGAAATCAGTGACCTCATTATATTCGTATTCGAAACTTTTCCGTAAAGGAGAGGATGAATGTATAACCGCGAGATCTTTTCCGCTCATTTCGTCCCATTCTATCGCAATTACTACTTATATATTGCATTTTAGATTGCGCCAAGAAGAGATATCATTCTAGTTACGCGCGAATTATTAATGAGCCATTAATTTGACATATACTTTTGATAATTTATACAATTTTAATTTTTTCTTTACATATTTTTAGAAAAAATATCAGGTTGATTGTATTTTTTAAGTGACAAAAAGTTAGGAAAATTTTTCTCTCTCTTTCTCCGTATAGTGCCGGCTAATAAACGCCACCGTGCTACAATTAAGTAGCGATCGCATGATTTGTGTAGCTCGTTATTAATAATAAATAAATGCGTAGCAGGGTGTAGTGTAAAATAGTGTGGGTCATTATTTCCCTGAGTAGTAACTGACAAGTAACAACGTCTCATAAAGATTACTGCGCCATATTTCAGTCACGCGTGCATTTATGGCGATTTTGCCTCGCATTTTACGAGAGGATAGGTTACTATGATGGTTATAGAGCATAACTAAAACCTCTAGAAAAGTAGC